TTCCTTGGATAGAGCTGCCCAACTTCATGATGCAGATAATGAAGACTGAAACCCCTTTCCATATATTTTGGGTGGAGGAAGCTACATTCAGCCAAGATAACAAGCTATGCTGAATCATACTCACCTATCTCAGGAAGGAGAACCTGCTGCCCTCCAGAATTTGCTGAACCACAACTCCTCATAGCTCCAGTTAACATGGCCAGTGATTGGGAACTGTAGTTCAACAATTTCTGGAGGAGTTGTATGTTTTCCATCCTGGCTACCCAGTCTAGCATTCTGTGTTCAGAATGACCAAGTAGATAGCAATGGAAATTGCAGTAGCATGCTGCTAACACATTAAAGAGTTTGAAAAATGGTTTATGTCTACATCAATCCAGGTTGATGCTATCACAGTAATTAATATAAAGCGTTGGGTTTACTGTCCAAGGCCCAAGGCATCACTAACTTGTATTTCCCAATCAGCAGTTTTTCATACTACGTGTCAAATCATTTTTGAATGTATGAGATGTCTGAAAACAGAAGACGCCATAAGGAAGTTGCTATGTAAAAAAAAACAAAACTGGCAATCCCATTAGGTGCTCTCAGTAGTTCAGATATGTACAAGTTATCTTTTTAGTAAAATGAAACCCTTTAGAATATAGTTTGGGGCTTGTGGCTATTGGTTTTTTCCTTGAATTGAGAAACACTAATTCACTGCTTTAACTATCTTGAGGGGAGTAAGCTATGTTCCCCTGAATCTATAAAAATATAACAATTCAAATACTAGGTTTTGATCATTTGCATATTTGGCAGGTGTTCTAGCCCATTTTTGTAGCTAAGAAAAATGCTATGATAATTAAACTTTCATTTGACTGAAATCTGATAGTCCTCCAAAAACAGTATATCAAAAGCACCCAGTGCTTTTCTAGTATTGGACTAGAATGCCAGTCATTCTCAGCCAACAGGATCGGACTATTGATTATCTTAAAATGGAAGGCAGAACATGCTAAAATAGATGCTAGGCACAAAGCAGATTCTAGGTTGAACCAAATATTTTTCTGTGAGCGCATCAGATTCAAAACAACAATGTTTCTCGAGTTGGTAGGGCCACAAAAGGAGCACCAGCTGCATAATCCCAGCAAAAGAACCTTTGTTTTAAGGAGTCAGATAAGTGCTGCGATTGTGCTCCCAGGTGCTCTGAGAAAGCTCTTTGCCTTCAGATCTTAAAGCACTGAGCTACCCTACTTTCCATCATGTATTACTTCCTTTTACAGACTGGGCATGTCTACATGAGATTCCTGCATCAGATGAGAATCAGCTCTGGACCTGTATGAGCTCAAAAGTCAGCTGATTCTTATTTCTGGCTCTGCATCAGTTTATCTGAAACCAGAGCAAATCTGAGTTGGTTGGTTTTTTCCCTTTTGGCTCAGTGAGGCTCTCGTGGGCAGTTTGTTTTTCCTATTGGCAGGGATTTTTGCCTCACCCAGCCGTTAGCTCTTGGACGTAAGACAACCATCTTGGTAGCCCTTCCACTGCTTGCTTATACTCTTCCGCTGTCATCGTTCTCAAACCCATTGCTTGAAACACGTGCATCTGTTTCCATTATCCAGAATTTTGTTTTTTTACTCGGATCAATGACCAAGTTCTGTATCTGCTAGGCCCATTGGCTCAGATTTACAAGCCAGTTACAATAAAACTTGTATTATCTAGGCTATCAAAACCTGTGCTTTTTTATTCTCTTGCCTGCTTTCTTTTGATGCATATATATTTGGATGACACAGACTTCAAAAATAGCTCTGAAAAAGGATGCAGTTGCTTTAATGAGTTCACTCATTGAAATTACTCTTAAAAGTGGCATTTTTTTAAGGCTAGCACACCAGGGATGTGTTGTACTTACACTAGGTCCAAAGCACTTCTTCCAAATCATTTTTGAAGCATGCAGAGCCATAAGATACACTGACTTTCCTATAGAAGTTCAAGGTAATGTAAGTAATAGTCCTCTAATGTTATCATCACAACAACCCTGTGAGTTAAGTTAGGCTGAGATGTAATGACCAGTCCAAAGTGATTTAGTGAGTTTCATAAATAATTTGGGATTTTAAACCTGTGATTCCACAATCATAGTCCAAAGAACTAACCACTTCAACACATACTAATCCATAATATGGTTTGTTTCTGACATAGTGCAATTTCTGAACCTACATACTGGCTCTGAATTATTAAGGCCTACAATGATAAAAATGACACATGGCCAAAGTACATGTTAGCTCAAAGATGTTGATGGTTACTTACGTCTTTTAAAATTCTACAGTAAACACGGGAAGCTGTCTTAATCTGACATTTAGCTTGGAATGGTGGTTATGTTTTAACCATTTGTCCCCCTGCTGTAGATTGGACCAGCTCCTATGTGCCTGCTGTTTCCTTTGCTAAAGGAACACACACGAGCAGGTTCTGCTTTGGTAGCAGTAGAGGGCAATGTGTCAAGCCCCTCCCCACCACCTCCCAAACAAGGGCCTAGAACTGAATGAGTGTTTGCATTAGAGAAAAAAGGCATGTTTTCTAGCTGCATCGCCAATGTAGTTTGGTCTCTGGGCTTTTGCAGACAATCCTTTCACTTTGCTTCTTGCTCTTTCCCCTATTACAGTCATTGTGCTATTGCATTAGAGAGGTGAAGGAGCCCTCCCCTAGGAACCCACTGCAAATTTCAGCAGGCGTTGGGTCTGCAGCTTGGCAATAGTCATACATGGGATGGTCCCCTCCTATAGAGGACCACAAGGCTGCTGCCAGGCTTTTTGGCTGGCTGGGTTGAATGAATTAAGCATACAATCTAAATGGTTCAAAGCCTGGGTATCTTAGGGAACGCCTTTTCCCCAAGTTCCTGCCCATCCTGCCTGGACAACTAGGGAGCACCTGCTGAGGATCCTCACCTGCCAGGAGATATAATGTGAGGGGGCCTGGCACTGCAGGGGGCAAGCATTGAACTCTTGATTTCTTTTTTTTTAATAATTATATATAATTTTTAAAAAAGATTTTTTAAAAGGAAGATAAAAACTATTACAAACTAATATAAAGTACGAAAAAGAAAAGAAAAATCAAAATTAAAGCTAAAAGTGCAAGAAAGGGAAAAAAAGGAAAAGAAAAATGGAAAAGAAAGAAAAAAGATATAAAGAAGTGGCTTCTGATCTTCTTTACAGCAGTTATAAGTACAATTATAAATTTTCCTCTTACTCTATGGTTACAGCATAACTCTCTTCTTTCTATAATCTATCCTGTCTAATGATCAAAACCATAAATCATAAGTTCATTTCTTCTGTTTTACACAAAAAATCCATAAGGAGTTTCCAGTCAGCAATAAACATAGATACTGTCTTTTCTCTGATCAAAGAATCAGTTTAGCCATCTCAGCAAGTTCCATCATCTTCACCATTCTTTCATTGTGGGTAGTGCCAAATCTTTTCATCTTTGTGCAAACAATAATCCCACTGCAGTTATCTTGTAAAAAAACAAAATTCCACAACTTTTTTCCAACTGTTTGTCCATCAATCCCAAAAGTAAAAACCTCTGGTCTCAGTTGTATATTAATCCTTAAAATCCTCTGAATCAATATGTGTATAGTATTTGAATCCAGAATTCTCTAGTTTTTTTTATAAGACCATGAAGCATGATAAAATGTCCCTTCTTCTTGTTCACATTTCCGACATAAATTTGAAGTGCCTTTAAACATTCTAGACAATTTCTCTGGTGACATATTCCAATGGTACATCATTTTATAAACATTCTTTGTTTGGGCTAAAATTTTTGGTTATAATATACAGGTGGAACAATGGGAAAATATGTGGCTGAAAGGATTGAAATTTACACTGTTATATTTTAGCCCATTTTATCATTTATTCTTTCACTTGTTTTTCTTTGATTTCACATTTCAATAAAAGTTTATACATTTTAGCAATTATATGTTCATCATTTGTACACAATTCTATTTCAAATTCAGTCTTACAATGTTCAAAACTATAAATTCTTCTGTTTACTTTAAATCTTTCTAATAATTGTAAATAAAAGAATCATTGACAACTATACCCTCTGCCACCAGTTATTCTCTTGATTTTATTTTACATTCCCCTTGACAAAATTCTAGTATCTCACCATAAGTTAACCATTTGTGTTTACCTATTATTTCTTGTCTATAAAATGCTTCTTGTGCTGAGAGCCACAAAGGTGTTTTCAGGCACAACCTGGGTTTGTATCTATTCCATATTCTCAATATGGCACATCTAACATAATGATTTTTAAGATCCACATTAACCTTGGCTTTATTATACCACAGATATCCATGCCATCCAAATCTCATGTCATGTCCTTCTAACTCCAAGAGACAAAGGTGTTTTCAGGCACAACCTGGGTTTGTATCTATTCCATATTCTCAATATGGCACATCTAACATAATGATTTTTAAGATCCACATTAACCTTGGCTTTATTATACCACAGATATCCATGCCATCC